CATGCGTGGTCTGGGAACAGGACCGGGCCCGGAGTCTCTGGGCCCTGGAATCTCAGCCCTGAGCCCAGGTGGCTGTGGACTGGCTGGGCCCCCTCATCAGTCCTGCCGAGAGCCTCCCCAGGGCCACCAGGCCAGTGCCACTCACTTCTCGCTGCTCCTCATTCTGCATCTCAGCCTGTCCCCGCACTGGTTCTGGCCACTGTCAGCCGCAGGTGACGTGCTGGGCGGGTTCCGTGGACTGCCGTCCTCCAGGGCCGTAGCAGACGCCAAGAGCCCAGCAGTGGGGACAGCGCCTGTTGTGAGTCCCCCGGCTCAGCAAGGACACTGTTGGGCACGTTGCTTTACCTCTTCATTTCCTCATCCTTAAAATGAGGCCCAAGGAGCACGGACTCCACATGATCACTGCAGGGAGCAACACAAGACCACATGCGTATGCACACACACAGTCTGTAGGGCTGCCATGACTGTGGGTAGAGCATGATTTGTACAAGCACCAATGTGACACCCTCGGGTTGTCCAACATTTTGGACTCAGAATCACAGAAATAAATGTTAGCAAACTTTCATCCATAAGTGATCCCCAGCCCCTGCACCCGTGTAGTCAGGAGCTGATTCTGCTTTGCAGTGTGGGTGCCCCAGCTTTGGATGAGGTAAAGCAACGTGCCCAGAATAACTTTCACCTGCGGCTGAATAACCCAGTTGGGGACAGCTGGGCTCAGCCCCTGAGGTCAGTCACTGGGAGGAGCGCCACCCTGGGTCTAATTCCTGAGCCTGTCCTGCCGCTGCAGGGAGGACGCAGGCCCCTGGGGAAGCGTGGACACTGCAGTGGAATTGTGGCAGTATGGCCAAGCTGGCCAGACCGAGGGCGTGGGGACCGCTCAGCCTTTAGCCCTACGCCGCTCAGGCCCCACTGAGGACACAGGTTGCTGTCCCTGTCTGCAAGGTGACATTTGCCGTGATAATTACTAAAAATCAAAAAAGAAGAGAAAAAGACTTCAAATGGAAGACGTACTGGGAGAGGCTGGTGCTAGAAGTGACAGCACGCTCCTTCTCCTCTGTCCCCTGCTGCTGTCTGCTGGCCTGGCTACTGTTCCAGGGGGACAATGGCCAGTCTGTCCCCCAGGGCCTGAGCCCGGTGCTTGTATGCCTGGAGGGTCCATGGCACTGCAGGTGGCGAGACACAGGCCGGGGAGGGGAGTAGAGGACCTAGGAGTCCCAAGTGCTAATGTTCCTGGTGCTTTTAACTTTTTTTTTTTTTTTTTTTTTTTTTTTT